ATTGGGAAGAAGCTTGTAGCGGCCGGCTAGCGGGTAGAATAGGGAGAGCGTCTTGGAGAGGGATAGCTTGAGCTGGTTGGAAGGGATGAATCGTGCGAAGAAGTAGAGGAAAGGCATGTAGACCCGAGGAGCAATCTGGTCGAGGCAGCTGAGAAGTATGGACGGTCGTGGTGGTGGAGAGGAGTTTGCAGGCTTGATGAGCTCTCGGACATTGGAAGCTACTTCCATTGGGATCTGGATTGGCTTGGATGGTGGTGGACGAAGGATTTCAGTGGAACTAAGGATGGAAGCCGATCATCAGCTCTTGGATTCTAGCTAGCGGAGGATCTCCAGTCACTGTGGACGATGATGTCAATGCGTGTGTCAGATTGTGTGCAATGGAGTCACCCGAGCAAAAAGAGAAATTAAAGTATGATCCAGAAGAACGAGGACAAGTACATTGATGTTTTACAATGAATTCATGAGTAGCTCTGTCGAGTTCCACTTCTTTCGAAGGACCAAGCTCGGGATCATCACTCTGGATGCTGCTTAGCCGGAAAAATAATCAACAATAATAAGAAAGAATTAGAAGATCAAATGATTAATAACCAGAGAAAAACTTGCCTTTATAGAAGATTGCTCTTGGGAACTGGAGTTTTGGCAGGAGTTGAAAATCCTCGACATCGGTGTTAGGGGTAGAAGGTTTTCACAAATCTGCCTATCCTTGTCAAAACGTTAGCTTTACCATATGATGCTAATTTTTTCCAATCTGTTTGTCATACTCTTGACCTTTCTCCATTGAAATGCTTCCATGAATGGAAGAGAACTTGTTAGCAATGAACTAATTAATTTTTTTTCACTTTTTGGGGAGCTAAGCGAGCAAAAATTCACGTCGGATTTTGCTGAGCGTCACATAGTAGCAATCCCGTTTCACTCTAATCAATGCTTACATAAACAAGCATGACAAATTCTCCGCAACTTTTTACTTCAGTTTTATTTGGAATTCAACTGGACAAATCTCTCGTAGGATTAATTTCTTGCCATCTAAACTCGTCTTAAACAACAAATCAGATTTATAATACATTATATTAAACGTGTAAGCAGTGCCTCCCATCTCTTACTGAAGAAAACTGCAAAGGTCCACAGAATGCATGAAACACCACCACCAACAATGGCAGCCAGAATCGTTTGATCACCATGACCGTCACCATCGTTTTCATCTTTGTGATCATCATGAAAAGGATTATGCAAACTAGCACACTCTGCAAGGGGGAAGCCACAAAGGCCTGGGTTTCCTTCATAGCTGCTCACCGGGAATAATGCAAGTTGAGCAATCTGTGGAACCCTTCCGAAAAGCTTGTTGTTCGAGATGTTTAAGTATTTCAGGAAGGTGATGTTGCCAAGCGAGTCCGGAATGTGTGATTCAAGCCAGTTCTGTGATAAATCTAGCCACTCCAGGTTCTTGAGGTTTCCAATTGTGGAAGGAATGGCCCCCGTAAGTAAGTTGTGTGCGAGATTTAGCACATTTAAGTCTCGCATGCCACCAAATTCCTCTGGGATTGTTCCAGTGAAGCTGTTGTGGGAGAGATCAATAGCCAAAGGACTGTTTACCAGACTATATATTGTTAAGTTGAAACCAGGAGGTGCCAGAAAGAACCATCTTCTGCATCTGGTTGCAAACGGAAGTTGCTCAAAGTCATCCAAGCGGATCCCTTGCAGTATGAAAACCTCCTCATAAGCTTTGCAGATGGATGCCTCTATGTTGATTGCAAACACCATCAGAAACGGGAAGGTTACTTCGGTTATTTTATCCTCTTCCACTTCTGATGAGCGGCCGATCCAGCTTGGAATTTGTCCTGTCAACTGATTGTCGTTCACTAAAAACAAAGTTAGACCCTTGTTGTTTCTAAGTTCACTTGGTAGACCACCCTGAAGCATGTTGTGACCCAGTACGAGAGATCGAAGGCTCAACATACTTCCAATAGATGCGGGGATTGCTCCAGATATCATGTTGTTGCTCAGAAGCAGCAACCAGAGTTTCTTCAGCCCAGATATCTGCTGAGGAATGACACCTGTGAGATTGTTAAAACTGAGATTTAGTGTCACCAGCTCACTGCAGTTGCTGATTGTAGCGGGTATGCTGCCTTCAAGATTGTTCCCCCAAAGAAGAAGATGTTGAAGCTTCGGAAGTCTGCTGCACATATCCACTGGAATGGGCCCTGCTAGAGAATTGATGCTCATATCAAGCATTTCCAGATTACCACAGTTCATGGCTGAGTTCAGAACCCGGCCATGCAACCTGTTATATACCAGCAGCAAAGACTTAAGTGAGGACCTTGCAGGGCAGATGTTTGGGTTGCCAGTGCTGAAGAAGTTGCAGCTCAGGTCTAGAACCTCAAGACTTGGAGGAACTGTAGGGAGTTCACCTATAAAGTTGTTGTGGTCGGCTTGGAGAACTTTAAGAGACTTGAAAACCGTAGCTAAAGTTCGATTGGCAAATACCGAGAGGAATGGTCCAGATAAGTGATTGTCTGATAGATTGAGCATCTTCAAAGAACCACAATCCTTCCGAAAAACTGTCCCAGAAATGTTGTTAAAAGAGAGATCCAGCTCCTCCAGAGTAGGACAGTGCTCGATCTGAAATGATGTGAAAACGTTGGTAGACAGGTTGAGCTTCTGAAGACTGTTGGATGAACGTAGACCAGAAAATTCCCCTGTCAAATTATTCGACGACAGTGAAAGCTCTTGTAAGCTTCTGCAGTTTATAAACATATCTTCAGGCACCCCTCCAACCAGCTGATTGCTCGATACGTCTAGAAACCGCAAGCTCTTACACAATGTGAAAAAGGAAGCAGGTATCGAGCCACTGATTCTGTTGTGAGATAAATCAACCGAAACCATAACATGCCCGATTGTTCCCTTCAGCGAAATTTTTCTTAGCTTGTTGTGTGAGAGGTTCAACTGCCTGATGTCTTTGCAAGTAACCAAAAGAATATCTAGAAAATGACTAGTGAAATCGTTGCTTGACAAATTGAGGACCTCCAAAGAGCATTTCTGCGGTGATATTTTGATCCCAGTGAAGTTGTTCCCAGAAGCACTCAAGGTGCGTAGTTGAGGCAGGGTTTGGATGGTAGAAAATGGAAGAAGGCCCGAAAGTGACAGAGAATCAAGCTGTATGCCAGTGATGCGGCCTACCGAGGAACAACTTACACCAATCCATTGGCAAACGTCTGTGCCTGCCTTCCAGTTATTCAGTGCCACCAGAGGATCATCCACAGAATTTTTAAAGCTCAAGAGTGCTTCCAACTCTGAATCTTCAGCATCTCCATGAAAAACAAGTCTGACAACAAGCAGGACAAGAGCAAATAGCCTACATAGCTCCATTAGAATGCAACAACAATAAAATAAATGAATGGTGCTTGTGATCATATAAAGGCCACCAAGCATCAGTCAGACCTGGAGAGTATTCACACATGACTTTGACTGGCTGGTTCTTGAGAAATGAGCTTGAACACGGCATAAGAAGAGTCAAAAGAAAAGAAGTTTCCCATGTAACATCTCCACCGTCGATCAAGGCGGATCGATATAGACGGGTACGATCGTAGCACCACCAAGATTGTTCTCTTTAGACGCGCTCTATCTTTTACAAGCTGAATATGCTTCAGTTGCCCTCTCCATTCATGCCGAGTCGTTTCCCTGGAGCTCCGCACTACTATTGGTGTGTGATCTTGCGCTTGGCTTCTTAACAGCGCGGTCGATCGATCCTGCCAGTAGCTGCTCAGACGGTGGAGAAAGCGCTTGACCAAGTGCAAATGCCATATTGAGTACAAAGATACATCTAAAGCAACACAAAAACACTGGATCCTTTTATAAACTCGTTTTTAAACAAGTGGCCTATCCCCAGATCAGGACATGTGAGCTGAGAGGTCCTGCTTGACTGTTTTCTATGGATTGGAAGGTCTTCCGAAAGCAACAAACTTTCAGAAGGTCTAGGACGCAGGGAACAGAGCTTGCTGTGGAAATCATGGTGAGAACCACAAAACCTTTATTACCAAATAATGAATTTATACTAAAATGAAAGCCTACTGAAGAAAACTACAAAGGTCCATAGTAGGAATGAAGCACCACCACTAATAATGGCAACCAGAATCATTTAACCATCACCACCATCACCTTGATCATCATCTTACAAAGGATTAAGCAAACCAGCACACTCAGCAAGGACAAAGTCCTGGGTTTCCTTCATAGCTGCTCACCGGGAATGTTGCAAGCTGACCACCCGGTGGAACCCTTCCGAGAAGCTTGTTCTACGAGATGTTTAAGTGTTTTAGGAAGGTGAGGTTGCCAAGCGAGTCCGGGATGTGTGATTCAAGCCAGTTCTGTGATAAATCTAGCCACTCCAGGTTCTTGAGGTTTCCAATTATGGAAGGAATGGCCCCTGTAAGTAAGTTGTGTTTGAGAAATAGCACATATAAGTCTCGCATATCAGTGAGTTAGTGCCTGTGAAGGTGTTGTGCAAGAGATCA